ATGACGTCATATATTGTCCTCGAAACATTGTCAAAATATATAATTATATTATTCATGTTCACAATTGCACACGAAACAGTGTTTGTCCAAACAAAAAAGAAACACTTAAAAATTCAAAACAAAAACAAATCTCAAGTGATGATGATACCAGCATTCCCGCGGTTTGATTCAATAATGAGTTAGATTTTTTAGAAATTGCCATTTTTATACATCCACTTGTATAAAACATTCTATAGGTTGGTAAAATTCAAATTTGGAACATATAAAACTGCCATTGCTTGAATGATAAACACTAGATAATACAGTGCCTGAATAATTAGTGTACCGAAGAATAGAATGTTCAAAATGCATTACCTTCAATGTCAGCTGCAAATTGCCGACCACATGCAGCATTTGAAACGCATCCGCCAGTGTAACATCTTTGCAAGTTTGATTATTGTATACAGCTTGTAATCCTCTTTCAGAAATTTTAACCTGATCACACGTCTACAGTAAGTATTTGCAGAACTGAGGCCACATCTATGCATGTTTGGTCAACGTACGATTAATAGCAATTTCAGAATTGACTTGTTCTAGGTAATTCAGCATCACTTTAAAAAACTATTCATTTATCCAGAAAATAGTTCATGTACACAAGCCAAGGAAGGACTTAAAGGTATTTACGGCTGAATCAACTATACAATAACGTCTACATGAACATGTTCACTCTGTCAAAGGCCATAGGTAGCATACGGGAGTATGTAAGAGTACATGTATCCTAAGACGCAGCATATAGGCAAGATGGGTCTAAATAGAACTTGTGGTTACTTCGGTAAAAACATCTTTTTGATCACTCACTTTCTATATAATACAAGATTCGTCTATATGTAAGACTTCTAGTTACTTGTTACTTTAAGGTGGTATGGGGTACCAGACAAAAATACCCTCATCTTTCAGTTTGTTAAAGTTTAATTCTAATAATTTTTTTTAATCATCTTTATGAAAAATACAAGTGATTTTTTTAATATAATTCTTTTTTATTTTCAAAAAAACTCAATATTATAGAGAAGCGTTGACTACAGTGTGGATATAAAACAGAAATGAAAAAAAAAATAAGTCTCATCATTTTTAAAAAATTTTAATAACAAAAAAAAATTTTAAATTGAAAAATAGTAAATTTTATTTCTTGAAAATATCTTTCTGATCAATCGTCCTGAAGAAATGTCAAACGGGGAGAACATGGGTTTAAATTTGAATAAAATGTTTGCGATCTATTACATCTATTTCATACTTGTACGTACACATTGACCATATATGAATCGTTGCCATATAAAAACAGTAATGAATACTGGATAGTAGTTGTAGTTATCCACAAGACGGTCTGTGAAGTTGATTTGTTTTCTTTGAAAATATAATGTTTAGTGGTACCTAGGAAAGGTTACTTTTCCAGTTTAAACTAAAGAATTTTACAACTACAAATTAATAAGTACTAAACTATTGAACTGTCGATTGGCATTAAACATAAAGTACTGTAAATTGACGTGAATATATATATATATATATATATATATATATATATATATATATATATATATATATATATATATATATATATATATATATATATATATATATATATATATATATATATATATATATAGATAGATAGATAGATAGATAGATAGATAGATAGATAGATAGATAGATAGATAGATAGATAGATAGATAAGCAATGTACGGACACTCATTTTCATTGGTAGAAGTTGGAAGAGAAGAATTGTGCTGAGTGTACAGTGTTATTTAATGCATGTTTACTCTTGTGTATAATTTATCTTTTTTTTTCATTTCTTCCTTTTTTAGTTTACATTAGAAATTAATATAATTTATTATGAACAATTTCATGATTAATTGTAAACCATTACACAAGATTTTTGTCAATTCCTTTGTAACCTTGACCTTCTTGGAGAGGACTTACATAAGCTATGCCTGATGTCCAATCCAATTATGTGATTTGACTTTACATAATAAAATACTGATTAAATTAAAATGCATGTTTACATGTACACATGTATATAAATTCAGAGCGATGTCTGTTGCGTGATACATGTAATATTGATCTCGATTTTGAAAAGGAAACTTTTAGAATGCACAATGAAATATGACATACATGTACTTGTAAGATAGTTTTTCTAATTTAGTGTAAATTAAACGCTTAAAATAAGAAGAGCAAAGCAGAGACAGTTCAATGACCTGCATGTTTTCGCACTTTAAACCAGAGGAATTTTTTGGTTTATAAAAACAATAAACTTCAATAAGACAAATTCCTTGCCATAATTTCACGCAATATATGCTTTATAATTAAATTCATTTAATGTGTTAAATGAGAAAACAAATTAATTTTATGATTTTTACAAGAATTTGGATATATATGTATATTCATGTAGTTAACATGCCAGAAATATTTATGTTTTAATTCGTCAGTTTTTCATAACCTGTCAAAATGAATAATTATATAAATATATAATTTGTCAAACAATATTTCTATCTAAAGTACATGTAAATCTGATTAATAAAACTCAGCAAAATGAAACCAAGGCCGTTAGATATTCGTCCAAGGGACACAGTAGAGATAGCAAATTGTCAAGAGGGGTTATCTCATTTATTATGTTTTCAACTGTGAAACACTGTTAGGAGATGGGTGATTAGGGCGTGCAGAATGCCTATCTAGCTTACAGATATATAAAAAAATCCCATTCAGTTTGTGATTTTAGTATTTAGAGTAAAGTTCTCATTATTGAAATCTATGAAATTATGATAAACAAAAACTTTTCTGAGGAAAATATTCTCTGCAATAATTATTCTGTTATTAAAAAAAATAATGTGGTATTCGTAGGGTTCGAACCCTAGAATCATGGGTCGAACACGCTAATCACTACGCTACACATTGCCTGATAAAAAGTGGCATTTAAATCATGTTTGTGGTATGACTCTTAACTAAATAGGTTTCAAGATGCGAAAGTTGTGTCATAAAAGTGTATTTTTAAGGTATAGTGGGTCTTTGCTCCATGTTTTTGTTTGCTAAATGTATATTTTACGCAAACTTTGATGATAAACTTTCAAAAAAATGAAGCGAAGACCCACTCATATCGAAAAATTGTGTTATAGTATGAGAAAATGATCTTTTCTGCCCTCTTTAGTGTGTGCGTGTGCTATACCATGGGCAAATAATTTCAATCTTTGTGAGATTTTTGCAAATTGTGGATATATTTTACATAAATTATATTTTAATATTAGATGAAATATCAAAGAAAATTTTGCTATAATTGAGATTTAATTTTTCACTTTCATATGTGTCGCTCTATAGGTATTTCGCTCGCCTTGTTCGTCCATCTCATCCATTCAATAAAATATTTTCATACGTGTTATTTTCTCACTGTGAACAAAAACATAACGAACAGAAAATTCGATGGGTTATTATTATTATTTTTTTTTTTACAATTCACTCGTGAGAGAGGGATTTTTAAAAATATTTTTCGTCGTAGTTTGCACTCCAAAAATGAATTCTTAAAAAAATCCAGTCCAACTCCTGAAATAAATTCCATTTCTAACAAACAATTGATTTTCTTCCATAATTCATTGTGCCAAGGTCATCAGAAATGGTACGTAAGGCATGATTTTTATTATTTATTTTTTTTATCTTCATTTTTTTTTTTCATTTTACACTCTCACTTTTTAAGAAATTAAGTTCGGATATATAGCTGTTCCCTTCTGGCACATTATTGTCATCACGCATTTTCCTATATTTTCAGAGGCAGCCAAAAATTGTTGACCTGGTCTTGTACATGTAGATTTGCAATAAGGTTTATGAATCGATTTTGGACGCAGAGATTGGCAAAAAAATTGACCTTACCATTGAAATTCTACCTAGTTTCAAATAATGGTATGATCATCTTTGGGTATGATGTCATTTATATGTGCAGTAAGGTTCAGAATCTTAATCTCTGCCCGGGGCTCACAAGGTTTTGGTAAAAATAAAAAATAAAAAAAATAATGTCATGCGAACTCTTTATACATTTGTGCCCATAAGATTTTTTATTCTGTTCTGAATGCCCAAAGTTACCTACATTTTCTTGGTGAAATCTACCCGGTAATAACGTTGCTGTAATTCTATGATGATCAATAGCATAATCTTTCAGGACTGAAATATCCCAAGAAAGACAACCACTGCTGAAAATTTTAGAAGCGATTTGTTTTCAGCCAAAACAAGATTTGTCTTTTCTTCTTTCATTTACCACCTCATTGTTTGCTAACTAAAATACTTCTGTTATTTTACATATCTGCCAGGACCTTGAATGAAAATTGTATATTTGCAAAAATTTTCATATGTATTTCTCTACTAGAATGATATACAACATGTAGTCAATATCAATCTGTTAAAATCAACTTCGTTCACTTTCTTGTAAACTTCAACCTGTAAGGAGTAATAATTAATAGTGTCTAATGGCACTACTTTCAAAAATTTAGACCATTTTAAAATCTAACTCAGTTATGAATCTTCTACACACTGAATACTAAAGAGTTCTAATTCTGAAGTATTTCTATACAGTTAGAGTGATCCGAAATAAAGTAAATTGAAATCTATAGAGTATCAATTTCTAATCAATTCAAGCATTTAATTTCTTTTAGGCCAATATAAATAAATTGAATACTTTCTTTGCATGTAAACCCCCCCCCCCAAAAAAAAAAAACAAAAACAAAAACAAAATCAATACTTTGTTGACTATGAACATTTTTTTTTCATTGAGGTAAATGGCTGGTACCCTATACTAAAAATAAAAATTACCAGGGAATATGTTATTTTTTCAGTATCCAAAAAGATAGTGTATAAAATGTATTGGCATTAGTGTATAGAAGTTCCTTAATACAAATATCGCTTGGTGAAAAATATCAGGTCATTTCTTCCTGAACTTTCCAAATTAAAATACATTTCTCAGTAAACAAAAATAACAAAATACTGTAGGTTTATAAGGATATGTTTTTAATGCATAAGCCTTCCATCATAACTTTTCTACTTGGTCCCAAGTCCCTACAATGGCCTCGGAACGATATGGTTTCTTTGGTCTTTTAAGCTCCCTCATTTGAATGCTTTCTCTTTGTTTCAACTACAAAAAAACAATTAAATTTTCTTTTCAAAATAGCAAATCATGTTGTCAATATACCAAATTTTTTGAGTACACAGAACACATTTATCCCACAATGAAATCCCAACAACTGAGTCAATTCTACACAGATTTTGACAATTGCAAATTTATCAAATAAGGAAATTAAGGCTCTAAGCGCATAACACACTGGAATAAATGAAGGTTTGAGTTGTCTTTATTTCAAGTTTATGATATAACAGGACCAATAAAATACTTTTCTGAAAAGAAAATTGGCAGTTTTATGTTGCGGACCTTATTCAATGACTGTAAAAGAGGACATTTCTATAGACTGTTACACAAATTATAGAACAAACCTTGTGTATGGTGCTTACTTCTGCAAATCCTACATAATCCACTATTAAAGGCAAACAGTATAAAAATTCCTACCCAAGAGAATACTTTATACCAAGAAAGTTTCATATTATACCAAGAAAGTTTCATACTGGCTTAAGTCATATGATACCCTAAAATATATACCACTGCTTACAGTTATGCTTACAGTATGAGAGTATATATATACTTTAATTACACAAACATGTACCTTTCTTTGTCGTCGAAGATCTTCCTCTTTCATTTTGAGATTGTGATCATGGGCAAAGACTCTTAGGATTTCCTCAAAGCTAACATCTGACTCCATGGGTTGACTCACTTTTCTATCCTCCAGTGGAGGTTCTAGTCTATCCTTCACCGGATTGTCTACTCTGTCCTCTTTTGGACTGGATTCTGATAATTCCTCTAATGACTGTTTCAACATTGAGCTCTTTTTGGCAAGGTAACACTTTGCAAACCTGACAGTAACAGATAATTTTATAGTCACTTTTTAACCAGTGGCATCAAATAACAACATTGAAAGCAAATTTAAACATAATTTTTTCTAACATGATCCATTACTTCTTTATTTCAACATGTCATTGGTCAAGAACATAAATATAGATCAAAACAATATAAAGGAAGTTGTGTTAATGTTTAGAGATTTCATGTAATCTTTAGATTCACACCAAATAAAAGATTTACAATTAATAAAATATACATATTAAAAATTGGACTTACTTCTGACTAAGAGTGTCAACATTGCTGTCTAAATTCACAACCTCTGGGGTGCTATATTCATCATAAAATTTTCTGGAAGGAAATGTATCATGTAAAGGAAAATTAAACCTCCGTATGTGAATTATCTCCGTACAAAGTTGAAATTTCTTGTCCATTATTTCTTACAATCATATATATTGGATTTCATTACAAAGATTTTGATACATCACTATACATGTATAAATAAATAAAGGGGGAGGGAAAGGGGTTACTTCTTCTAGTGATGAAAATAACAAAACTTTCAATGGAGTAAAGCATAATTTACTGACCATTATCAATTATACACACTAATAAATATTTAGAATTATATATGGCTATCTCTGTACTTACATTCTAATTAAGTCCTCAGGGTAATTGATTCTTCTAATTTTGCTAGAGATGTCTGGCTCTTTCCTCTCAGCATCAAATGTATCTAATGGTGGAAAAGCTTCATAAACATTATACCAAATAGGAATCTTTTCTCTCCTCAAAGCACCAGATCTTATTAGTCCTTGTGTTCTGGAAAACAAGAAATGCATTTATTAATAATTTATCTTCTTGGCCATCTTAGGTATTTTACATTAAATCCTACTATCATCCCTTCCTCTTAGCTAGGTTCAGTCATGATGTATGTTATTGATAGTGGTGGGAATCGGTAAGAATTTCATAATCGATGATCGGGCTACTGTAACTAACTAATTATCAATTATAATCGGCCATTTACAAAAGTCTGTCAATTTAGTTTATTAAATGGTAAGAATGGTTGAATAACTACTTTCTGTGGTGGTCCAGCTGTAGTTGGAATAATCTAACTGTGTCTCGGAACAACCCCTACCTGGGGTCCCCTAGTCCTTAGGACAACATCATTTTAAGGATAGAATGTTCTATCTAGACAAGCTGTTTCTACGTTCATTTTGTAGAATCCAGAGTACGTCCATACCCCGGAATGAGTGTTGTTACAGGGGTATGAATACAATGTCTCTTCGTCTGTGCCATTACGATACACAAATAAGTTAATACACAAGTTGCGGCTGGAATATTTGGCTTAAAAACTATTATGCTTGTAAAATAAAATAAATAACCCAATTAATCAGAATAAAAATTTTGTAATCGAGCACTTTGATTACGCCAACAATCGACTGATTTTCGATTATAATCGATGATTGGAACACCACTAGTTATCGATGAGGCAAAGCATTTATACAAGCAAAAGGAAAGGAGAAAATGTATGGCTGGACCAGGAATCGAACCTGGGACCCCTGCATCACTAGTCAGGTTTTATATCTACTAAGCTACCCAGGCTAATATCTAGGGCCCAAACCATTACATACCACATGAAAGTTCAATAAGATAAATTAGTTAAGTGCATCATTATTGGACTTTTGTAACTGTAAAAATCTAGGTCACTTGCAGTATTTACAGTAAGTACACATTTCTAATTACATCACCATTTCTTAAAAAGTTTAGCCATGAAAGGGCTTTTAACATACATGTAGTTCATTGGCACTATATAATTATTCATATTTTATCATGATTATCTTTGTGACACACTCGTCACCCTATATGATACAAATCATACAAACAAAATAAAAAAAAACTGAATGAAGTAGTTATGAACAAAATCTGTTGTACATATTGAGTGATTTACCATGAATTTAAGTAAAAGCACAGCTTTTCTCTCGGGATTTTATCAAACTTGGATTTTTTTAATGTCTAAAACCATAATTTTAATTCAACTTGACACTAACTTTTACTTCCATTTTAAAAAATGATAAAATTCCAACACTGTCGTATATGATTTTACACTTATTCTTGACAAAAGTAAATCTTTGAGTACCTTTTGTATATAGTTCCCAGAAATTGTCCTCGAGAAGATGCCATGTTTTTAAACTGGTATTTTTATTCTAAAGAAGGGTACCAGTTTCTAATTCTAGTAAGTTGTACTTCAAACCTTTCGAATCAGAACTCCGTTTGTTTCAATAAAATTATAAATGATAATATTTTACAATATTACGCTCCTTGTTTTTAGAATGCGGCTTTAGTATTTTTAAATATTATAACATGTCTTTTCAGCACAGCCACTTATTTCAATGAACGCGGCCAATGGGCAGATGGGTAGAAAAATAGGGAAAAAAAGATAATAAAGAAATCGATTTGAAGATCCGTAGTATTTAGTTACTTTCAGGAATGACAATTATAATACATCTTATGTAAAAATGTTTTCTTCCTTCATCAGTCAAACAATGAAATATCTTGCCAGATTATATTACAAATGCTTCTGGAATATCTTCATTCAAGAGTCTTTTGAAATCCTACTTTTGTAGAAAAAGTAACTTTTTCATTTGGAACAAGAAAATAGAACATAATACATTGTCAGTTAAGGAATAATGCAAGTGATTCGAGGGCAGACTTATATAACCAATTTTTATCTGAAACTCCAAAGTGTGAACATTGTACTGATTCTGTTGAAGATGCTTACCATTACTTTTTTGTACGTGAAAATATACAACTCCAAGCTAGAGACATACTTTTTCAATCAATACATATTTTGAATTGTGACAATCTATCTGAATATGAATTATCATGAAATAGTAATCCTAATCATTGACTTAATATCAATATTCAAATACACATAAACTTATGGAAAAAAATCACTGTCATATACATGTAACATTTTTGAATATTTCCAAACTGGCACTTCTCTATAAACTTGTTTTTCTCTTTAATTTTGCTTATTTTTCCCCCTGTTCTTTCTGGTACTTTTTTCTACTTTTTACTGAGCCTGTTGGCAATCCTATTCACTTTTTGTGAATAAAATATTAAATTAAAGTTATAATACCAGCACTGATTGACACAAATCTTTGGCCAATCATTACATATAAAAATATCTTTCTTTTGATCTATTTGAACAATACGTATTCTATATGCAAGCTATTCCACATCGGAGCAAACCACGACCAAAACACAGACACCAAAATGTAACTATCCTCAGTCAAACCACGACCAAATACATGTAAAAGAATCCTCTCCCATCGTCTCAAGCTATGATCCGCGAACACAGACACTAAACTCGCTTGAATTTTTGACCCCCTAACTAGTAAAATATTAATTTGGGGGTCCAAAAATTCCATCGAGTTTGGTACGGTGCATGTGTCCGCGTTTAACTCTCTCCTACACGACTGGAATGGGAAAGGATAGTACATTTTTTGCCGGGATTTGTGACATGTATACGCGGACTCCGGAACGCATGGAACATGGCATGAGATTGTGCCTATTCCAGTATAATATATGATATTATATATAGAGAATATTACATACTAAAATCCATATCATATGTCATATCAGCCCGAGTGGCCCTACATGTATATCAGCCCGAAGGCCCGAGGGCTGATATTGGGCTCGAGGGCTGATGTGACATATGAAAGGGATTTCAGTATGTAGTATTCTATTTATCATATATTTAAAACACTTAATATGCAAGTTCACATAAAATCATTGAAGAATGTTTCGTGCATGTTTATGACCTTTTTCTTTAAAATCTAATAAAGAAAAGGTCTTTGAAAACAAATTAAGTCCATAGATGTTAGTAAAGAATTATTTTACATGTATATTTAAATAAAATCAAGTTAATTAACTTTTAAACTTTAAACAAATGTTACTTTCGGTTTGAATTGGATTTTTGCCCGCCGGTTCGATACGTGATATGGATTTTCGGACCGGTCCTTGATATGGGATATTGCCCGTATCGCACAGTGCAGAATCGGTGTATTTACTGTACTAAGTATATAATATAATACAATATAATATAATATAATATAATATAATATAATATAATATAATATAATATAATATAATATAATATAATATAATATAATATAATATTATACTTTCATGTAAATTAGTTGAATCTGATTCGTCGAGAAACATTTGTTAAAAAACACTATTACCCGCTGAATGTTGAAGCCACGCCCTCCAGCGTAGCAACAGTCAACATTGCTTGACGACGGGTGATATTCAAAAAATAGTGACTGCGCAGAATTTATGCGCGCAAGGTTCACTGTTATATGTATTTGTATAAAACATTCAGTATAATATAATAAATATCGCATGTAGTTGAGTGTAACATTGAAAATTTTCACCCCTCGAAAACCATTGTCAACCTCGGCTGCGCCTCGGTTGACAATGGCTTTCTTGGGGTGAAAATTTTCAATGTTACACTCAACTACATGCGATATTTATAAAATATAATATAATATAATAAAGAGACGTAACTCTTAATTTCAGCTTTTGTAATGTTTTATTTTAAAAACGTATTAAAATATGGAATTAATTTATGTGTTATACATTTCCATAACCCATTGTAACACCAACCACATGTATTCATAAAGTTCTTTTCGGTACACGATATATAAACAATCATAATAAGTCAAAATACATGTTTTATACATAAAAAAGCGAGATATAACAAAGCATAACGATTTGTAGTGTACAAGGATTTCTGAGAACCGGTGACGATAACTGGATATTAGGCAAGTATTCCGGGCTCTAATTTGATTTCATATGGAACAGAAGTCAGAGGTTGTAGAGGGTCCGCCTGTCCCATCACTACATACTTATCCATTTTCTCTGTCACAGACGAATCTAAAAATAAGAAGTGACCATTACATATATATATATATATATATATATATATATATATATATATATATATATATATATATATATATATATATAAGAGAGAATTCCATACTAGTACAGAAACAAACAAATCCCGACAAAGTAAATTTCAAACCGTGTGGAACAACAAAATTCTAAAGAGCTCTTTTACTCAGTTGCGAAATTTGAACGAAATTTTTACCCACCTGCCACTAGAGAGAAGGCCATTCCACGGGCCATAGCCGTACGACAGAATCGGTCGATAATCCCATTTGAACCAAGGTCCGTTACTTTGTTGGACTGTCTGGCCACAAAAGTTTTCAGATTGCCAGTCGGTATAGGACCTGCCTGAAACCAGTGGTGTGAAACTTTAATGTTAAAAATTCTGTCATCTGATGCTTTACATACATTCATAATCTCTATTTGCTGCATGGATTTATTTAGTTAAATGATTTGATTTGATTACCCAAGAAATAGAGGAGCGGAGCTCAAGTTCTTGTGAAAAATCGAAGAGACTGATTGGTGAGTCCAGTATGAAACACAAATGCTTCTTTTTAGCCCAGAATTCCCTGTTCCGTTTATTTTTTTCCAGGGTTTCGCTCGTGATTCCAGGCTCGCTGACCTCCACACGGATGGCTTGTTTTCCCTATTACAACAAGTTTAGCTTGTATATTTCGTCATGTATATAAAAGACATAGCTAAAAACCAAAGATTTATAAGTTTTTCTTTAAATACGTAGTAAATTAATGACCACATCTTCTCATCGGTATAACAACATCATATAATTATATATTATGCCTTATAACTGTTTTTTTTAAAGAGTTGTTATGCTAAATTTATATAATACTGTATAATCCAAGAACGTAAATAAAGACTTACCGTCCCAAAGTCAATCATGGAGAAACTTTGGTCGTATCCCGCGGCAGTAAGTGAACGTTCCTTCGACATCAGAAACCCCACTTTGTTGTTGTTGGAGACAAAGCCTCGTTCGTTCACTGTACTGCCATCAGCCAGGGACGTGTTCCAGGAGGCCTTGGTTACATCCTTCAAAAACGATATACATGTAATAATTTGTATATAGAACTAGTCAATAAAAAGATGTGTCATTTGAGGAGCTATGATTTTGTAACTTTCTCTGTAATTTAATATAGTAACGAATTTTGACCTTTATTGGACTTTATGATTACTATTTTATTTTTCTCTTTTCTTTTCCGGGGAGAACTTGATTCTATGAATGCTTGGTAGATCGCCGCTTAGAATTTCGAGATAGCAAAATTTTAAAATATTAAGCGAGGAATTCCGGTGTAACCACCACTGAAAAATGACACCAGCTTGGTGAATGCCCGGTAGTATAAACTGCCCTCAACTATATGATGACTATTTTGTGCGTGACAGGAAATGATTTTCAAACAAATCCTCCAATTAGGGAAAACTCTATATGTGAATACAATAAATCTTTCACATACATCTGTTGGGATAAACTAACACTTCCTTTGTTAAGTAGCATATTCTGAAGAATTAAGTTTTTAAAATATAAAGAGATTAATGTATCACTAAAAATAAGCAACGCTTTTGCTTCTATACAGAACACAAAAGCGCATTTCAAAAGCTAAAAATCTCTTTTCATTTTTTAGTTTTAAAAAAGGGCTGAATTATTAAGTTAGCTTCTGCAAAGGCATGCTCACACAAAACGGTAATAATTCAGAATTCGACTATTGTCTTGATAACACTGATTTTATCATTTGATGCATTGATTTCTTTATCACTTTTAGTTAATAACCCATAATTCTAAACCGACATGAAAATTAATTTTCCTTTTTGTCAGCAATGATGACAACACTCACCGACCAGTCTTTGTTCTCTTTATTTTGTCCCTGTCTCCTACTCCAGCGTCTCTTAGAGCCCTGTCCCGACACAGAGGACACCAATAAGCAAATCAAGGTGAGTAGAAGTAAAGTTTTCATTTTCTGTGGAGTGTTTGTTACTATAAGCGATATCAGAAAGACTAACGACCAAGTGGATAACCCTTGGTTTTTATCGGCCTTTAGCTTGAGGCTTGGTCAGTAATGACGCGAGCAAACTTACACGAGTCATCATATTACGAGCAAAAAACACTGCTGTTACATATAGTAATGACCAATCAGTGACCATGTACACCCACCAAGGGATTTTTCGACTTCTCAAAACAAATCCTTCATAAATACTAAAATGTTTTCAAAGGTATATTATTAGTGCCTATAGGAAAAAAAACAGCATATTTGTCAGAAGAAATTGGCATTCGAAAATATTCAGAATTTCAAAGTTATTTTTTTTTTCTTAAGAAGTTTTTTTTAAAAGGATTTCGAAAGTTTTAGCTGCTGAAGTTTATGCATTGAAGAAATACTATGGGTTGCATATGCAGGATTGCAGGATAAACTCGCTTGTTGTGCATTTTATGGCATCCGACTACAAATTCACAACAAGCGAGTTTATTGGTCTGTAGAGACGACTATAAAGGGTAAGGAGGTGGATAAAATATACAGGTTGCTTATAGAATATGTCTAGAATTAGGGGAAGAGAGATCGTTGATTGACCAATGCTGGAAAGTGGCGAAATACATCCCCAAAGTGCGCAGAAAATCTTGCTCCGTAAATTGCACTTTATTTACATTACGGGATCTGTAGCGTTATAGTCAAAGACTAAAATATAAAACCATAACGCTACAGTTCTGCAGCTAATGCAGGATTGTATTCAATGTATTAATATATTTAAGCTAAGCAAACCATATAAAGTTTTTGTCTTAATAATTTATAAAATGAAATTTGTTAATTTACTTTGATTTTGTTTCTAAGATTTAACAATGAAATCTCCTTTCTTTTACAAGTTTGTTTTATCTTCTGACCCAAAGGACTTTGGATTTCGTTATTTGTTCTTTTGCAAGACAAATCCTATCATGAAATAAAACTTGCTGCTTTTAAATAAAAAAAAAAACAAAAAAAAAGAAAGAAAGAAAGTAAGAAGGAAAAGAAAAACAAAAACATCAAACAAATAAAAAACAATACCGACAGCAGAAATAAGGTGACTATAAAACATACATTATGTAAGGCAGTACAAAAGAAAATATTTTTTATTACAACAATATACAAATATTGACTGGGGTTGCGGGCATCATTGATTATGTTGGCCTCCAAGGGATGAAATATTTTCATTTCGAGGAGGCTACAATGTAATATAATCAATGTTGCCCGAAAACACAGTCAATAATTGTTTTGTTATATGAAAAACAAATCTTTTGCTTTAAATAATTCATCTGCATTTTGATTGTAGACCAATGGTATAGCGATTCTTGCAATAATTATATGTTATTTGGTTTTTCTATTGTGAAGTCATGTTTTTTTGGAAGTCGCGACAGTATCATAACGTCACAATAAATTAATGTGCAAATCAGAATCCAAATCCATAAAAATATGGGAAATCTCTCTTTGCAGGTCAATAGTTAACATTAAATGACCGTCAATATTTTTCGGAGGAACTAATATTAATTATGTTGGCTGTTTCTCAATATAGAGAATATAGGGACTTTTCTTTACTGAATATGAGATGGAATTTAAGAAATGGAATATACATGTAATGCCCTTCTTGTTCGCCTACATTTTCGGACTTGAACAAATCATTCATGCAATCCTATTTAGATACATGGAATTCTTCAATACTTGGTAAAGCATCACTGAGCAATTTTATGTTTGTTTATTGTCATCAAGAACAACATAGGTCATTTGGTGCGAGTCATTCCAACAATTACGATTCTTGGCGTAACTTACGGAAGATCACTCTTGTTACGTAATATAGAGCTAACCTACCAAATAACAACAACGTGAAACTATCTCCAAGGAGAAAAAGCACCTGCCGAATAGTATACTACAAATATATCGAGTAATCTCTGTGATGTTAATTGTATTAATTAATTTATTTATTCTGAAAACATTCGAAATATAACCTATAGCAGACTCTTAGAAAGTAATAGCGAAAAATAGAATAGATTTTGTTCTCTTTTTTCACAGTCACAGTAATATGACACATATATGATATGTACATGACTGTATATATAGATAAAGCGTGATTGGTTCTGCCTTAGTTTTTATTTATATATTGTACCCGGTAATGACATGTATACTGTTTTCCATGTGTCCAATCATTTTCTCTGATTAATGATATTATACCTCGAGTAACATTAATTATACCATTTTTTTTTTTTACATGTTTCCTTGTAATATAACTATTTCCTTTAGACATTCATAATTAGTCGTCATTTATAGTCAGATTTACATACTGTTTTACAGGTAGGTGTGTGGCCACGATGAAACATGCTCCTCTTTCTGATGTTGGTCTATAGTCTTGCTCAGGACAGAGGTCTTAATGTTTTGGGTTACCAATGGAAATGTTCCCTGTACGCACAAAATTAATCAGTACATAAATGTATACATATTATAATTCAATTTTAGGAACTGTATAACCAAGTGTAAAGATCATTTTATTGCATTTAACTGGATTTGGATTTTAATTTAAAGAAAAAATTATCCAAGTAAAAGAATTCATATGAAACAGATTCAACATTTTTGTCGATGAATATTGGAAAAGAAAAATCGCTAAATTTAAGCAAAGTAATTGAAAAGAGACTACCTGTATTATATTTGTTTATTTTCTGTAAACCAACTTTTATTCGCGTGCGAGAAATATCCGCGAGTTTCGCGACTTACTTTAACTTGCAATATTAATCACCGCAAACCATATATTTAGCTTTGTATTTATAGAGAATATTTCCTCAGTCGCGAAAATTAATCGTCGCGGATTGATTTCAAACTGAAGAATCGCGAATAAAAGATGACGCAAATAATAGTTTGTTTACGGTATTCGCTGAATTGTTTGGACATTCTTAACTTTAGTGATAAATATTCACCAACGTAGGTTATGTTTAAATTGTTTCTTTTTCTTTGTTTGTTGTTGTTGGTTTTGTTTGTTTTTTCAGCTCACCTGAGCCAAAGGCTTAAGTGAGCTTTTCTGATCAAAGAGTGTCCGGTGTCCGTCTGTCGTCTGTAAACTTTTCACATTTTTGACTTCTTCTCAAGAACACTGGGCTAATTTCAACCAAATTTGCCACAAAGCATCTTGGGTGAAGGGGATTCAAGTTTGTTCACAAGAAGTGCTGCGCCTTCTTTCAAGGGGAGATGATTAAAAATTTGTGAAAATTTGATGGTATCTTTTAAAAACCTTCTTCTCAAGAATCACTGAACAATAAAAGATGAAACTTATGTGAAAGCTTCATTACATACTCTAGATTCAATTTTTTTCATATCATAACCCCCGGGGGTAGGGCGGAGCCACAAAAGGGGGTCAAAGATTTACATAGGAATATATAAGAAATGTCTTTAAAGATCTTCTTCTCGAGAACAGCAAAGCCATGATTAGTCATTTTATTACAGAAGTATCCTCAGGTAGTGTAGATTCAGTTTGTTCCAATCATGACCTCTGGGGGTAGGGCAGAGCCACAACAGGGAGCTCAAAGTTTACCATAGGAATATACAGGAAATCTCATTAAAAATCTTCTTCTCAAGAACAGCTAAGCCATTGTTAGACATATTAATACAAAAGCATTCTCAGGTATTGTAGATTCAAGTTTGTTCAAATCATGACCCCTGGGAATAGGGCGGGGCCAAAACAGTGGGTCAAGGTTTACATAGGAATATATAATGGTTAAGGGGCATTTGAGTAAAACGCATTGAAGACTTCAAATAGTGGAATGACCTGACAACCCTTGGAATGGACTAGCCTAAGGGTATATACTCACTAAGGCAAAGCTTTGGGAAAGTCAGGCATTGAGAAGGTAGCTGTAGAAGTTGGATGATGAATCAGCAATAAAGAAGTTTGATAAGTCCCCCGTTTCTCATAAGAGTTTAATAGTCTACTTTAATTTTTGTTTTGCGGTTATCATATTTTCACACTGAATATATGGCAATTTTTATCGAATAATTGAAAATAAAAAAAATCGGACACCTTTTCCAATTTTATTTTTATTTTTTTAGTCGACTGCGTAAAATATGGAGTTTTATTTTTATTTATCCCCCCGACCCAATTTTTCATAAAAAAAATTCCCGTAAATCATTTAATAAAAAAATGTTGGCCTTAAGGTATTCATCCTAATAGCAAAAGATTCAATGAAATTGAGTACATAACAGATGGTAGGTGTTGAATACACAGTATATTTAGACATAATTCCCATTTATTACTATTAGCATGTAAGGGTGGGATGTGTCCTAATTTATGAATTTTGGAAAGAGTTAGCTCCCTCTGTTTTTTTATTAATAAAAAAAATCAATTTTAAGAAAAAATCGTTTTCAATTGTCATTCTATTTCTAATGTGTTTTAGTGCATTTTTCCACTACAGTATTTATTGATATTCTAATCATTTAAATTTTTATTTTTAAAATATTGCTCCGTAGACTTCAATGCGATCTTTGTTAAGTACTTACTGCTTAGTTAATTACATTTTTGAAACTTTCTCTTGGTAAATCCTTTTCTACTGTAAAATGCTTTAAATTAATATCAGATTATTATGTATGTGATGGACATTTAAGGACAGAGGATGGAAAACCTTAAGTGTAAGAGCAAAATAAAAGTATAAAAGTTATAAACACCAGAGGCAAGTATCCTAGGGAACTGATGTTAAGCTCTGGGTGTAGTAGATCCAAAGAAGATTGAGACAACTGGTTCTTATGTATCAATGGGAACCTAGGGGAGAAACACGGTGCAAGGAGTACCTTACCCAGCCCCCATCTCTAGATAGGAAAAAATTTAAGTACTCTATGATATACCTTCAGACAGAGCTTTCTTAATCATCATTCCAATCATTTACTCAGACAGAGTAAAAGGAAAAGCTATATATCTCTTGCAATAACCTGATCATACACGTTACATAAGAAATAGCTTT